TTGTACGCAATATTGCTCGACATCTCCAATTGCATTGGTTATCACCACATTCAACAACATATCTACTTTGGTTTGAAATTTTCACCTTGTATGTGCGAGTGATTGACAATGTGAAAACGGTTGATGACATCTTGAACTTGTTCTTTTGTTATGAAACGTTGTCCAAGAAATAGAGTTCCTACGGGAGAAACAAAAGACTCTCTGTCCAACGCATGACCATACTCCGGGTCTTGTTGTTGAATGTGATTTTCAAAGTTAAGAAAATGTTGTGGTGGGTTGAATGGTTCCATGAAGTTTGGTGCATGTGTAGGGAAATGTGGTTGTTCGTCCTCTGAATCATCTTGGTGTTGGCTGAGAATTTCATCTTCGTCTTCATCCTCACTAAAATGATCAACGACTTCAATTGGGAGGCCAACAATTTCGTTCTCTTGTGTGGGTAGTTCTTCGTTGATGTTGGTGGAAGGGCCACTTAGAAGTTGGGTCAAAGGGATGTAGTCATTATGTGTGGGTATTTCTGGGTGAGTGTTTGGCAAAGCTTGGTAGGGTAAGGGTGAAATTTCTGGTGAGTGTGTGTTGGGGTATGAAGAAGAAGAAGTTTTAAATGAAACAAAAATTTTAATACCACATAGACTTGAGTTTGAATCATGCACATCGAACATGACCTCCACGTCGTCATCATCTTTCAACTCAACAGCAATGAAGTTGTTGATCCCAACTCCGAGTCTAGTTGGACAACGAAAATGGATGGTTGCTACATTTTCATGGGGTTCTTTCTCCAATTTCTTGTGGATCAACTTCTTCGACCTTTGTAGAGAAATTCCTCTCTTTAAAGGAACAAGTTTTGCGAGTCCCAGTATTGAAGGTAACTCCCTCCATGGGACATGGGTTCATGAAACCATCATAGTGGACAATAGTAGACACTACACCCATTTGAGGAGTGTGGAACACAAAGAAGACTAAAGGTAAGAAGAAGAAATAATGCAAATAGCTTCGAGAGATTTAGGAGTGTGCAATGTGAGAACTTCAAAGAATGAAAGTAGTCTATTTATAATGAAGTCCATTGGTTTCAATCCAATGCTCCCTCACATGGTTTCTGCTTTTTTGTCTAACCCAGATGTCAGATGGAATCCAAGATTGGAATCCAAGATTTTCGTCTAAGATTGGAATCCAATGCTCCCTCACATGGTTTCCGCTTTTTGTCTAACCCAATGCAGGGAATCCAAGATTGGAATCCTAACTTAGGTGGGTAACTCAGCATTGGATTCTTTACTTGTGTGCATCAGAAAGACATGGGAATCCTGACTTCGGTGGGTGACTCAGCATTGTAAATAATTGCAGGTTTGCTCGTTCAAGCGATGGTTTCTCGCTCGAGCGAAAAAAAACCCGAGAGTCCCCATTGTTTGAAGGCTTCATCGCTCAAGCGGTGACTTTGTCGCTTGAGCGAGTAATGACCGAATCATGAAACGCCAAACGCAGTTAGCCAAATAATATAACTTGGTTCACCACATATTAGAATCACTTGTCGCTCAAGCGTTCATAATGTCGCTTGAGCGAGACAGAACCCGAGAATCCCCCATTTTTCCAGGTGTCCTCGCTCAAGCGATGTGTTTTTCGCTTGAGTCACCTTAGATAGCGGTTGATAACAACCGCTTTTTAAAATATATATTAGATAGCGGTTAGGCTTTAACCGCTTTCTAATGTAGTAGTTTAGATAGCGGTTGGCCAAATAACCGCTATCTAAAGTCATATATGTCAAAGTGATCGACTATAATTGGATAATAATCGATCATACTTTTCGCTCAAGCGAGAGTTTCTTCGCTTGAGTGAGAATTTACCCCAGATTACCCCTTCGTTACAGATTTCCTCGCTCAAGCGAAGGTTTTCTTCGCTTGAGCGAGAGTTCAGTACGCGAAATAATATTATTTTAATACGTGAACAGTAAACAGTTGCGCGAAATAATATTATTTTATTACGTGAACAGTAAACAGTGCTAGTTGTGTAAATAAAGTTCAGAGGTGCTATTTTGGTAAATATTTTTAAAAACATTATTATTTATGAAAAAAATTCTTGAAATGTTCGACTAATTAATGAGAATGGAAGAGAATGTCACTGCCACGTTAAGGTATGACATCATTTCGTTTTATTTTATTACGTAAGCAAGACATGGATATTTTTATTTTTTTTATTTCTGTGTAGACAATTTAATTTATCAACATTCTATTATGCAGTGTTATTATTTTTACATAATTGGTGATATTTACATATTTTATTTATTTTTCTGTTTACTTTCACTCTCCAGATATTGAGTAAAATTTATCATTTATCAATTTTTTTCTAAACTAATTTCCTATTTTGAAGTTTTTTTAAAATATTAATTTTATTTATTTATCTACGAAAGTAGGAGACAACTTGGTGGATGGAGGGCTTTCCCTTTCTTTCCAATTAAGTGGAATCAAAAGAAACCCAACAAAAAACAAAAACATCCTTCAAATTGTAAAATTCAAACATAGATAGTGACTATATTCAAATTATACAAGGGTGGATTTAAGAAATATAAAAAATACCATTAAAAAATATAATTTATTTTTAAAATAATAATTTATACTTATTTAAACCATTTTAAATAATTTCCAAAAATTTAAGATCTTTTTTTAAATTATTACCAAAGTCACTGAGATTAATCTGTAAAAAAGTACAGAATAGGTCCCATAGACCACTACTTTTAACTTAACAATACTATTATTATCGGCTTTATTTTCTTGTGCCATGACACTTACTTTAATGGGTCTAAGTGCCATTACACTCACGTTTCCAAATTCTCATGTTTTCATTTTCTACGAAAAGAGAGACACACTCCAGTGGCTAGATTTTTTATGTTGCTCCTATAATAATTTTTTTTTTCCTTTTTCCTCCTTCAATAAACTATTCCCACATAAGTTTTATTTTCTTTTATTTTTTTACACATACAAAATGTCCATCTCGTAATTGTAAAATCGCTCAAATTTCTTGTTATGTTTATATATTTCAGCCCCATAAAAGTTATTTGTATACAAATTATTTAAATTTGTCCTTGGTTTATGTGATTTCACAAATGTAATTTTAGTGGTTTGATTAATCTTGTCTCCAGAAAACCGCAACCACAAAAAAAGGAATTATTAACTCGATAAGAACATATGGGTTTGATTAACGCATAAAAAATATGACTTTGTTTAAACTGTAATTTAAGTCATTTTTCATTTCTTGATTTTGACTTTGTACATACACATTGATTGTTCTTTTGACATTTTTTTAATCTCTACAGATAATATTTTTAATATTTGGAGATATTTTTTTAAAATAATCAAAGTTTGCTAAATATGAGTAAATCACATTTTACAAAATAATATTAATAAAAATATATTTAAAATCATAATTGTATTTTGAAATAGTGATATTTTGAAGCACGAATTAACTATCGTAATTTTCAAGAATTCAACGAAGTTTTAATAGAGTAAATTAAATAGAATTCTGTTAGAACGAATAAAGTTAGGTTAAATAATTCTGAAATGGGTTGAATTATAAACTAAATTGTTTTAAATAGATTGAATTAGTGAAAATGTGTTAAGATGAGTTGAAAAATAAAATAAAAAATAAAGAGAAAACATAAAAAAAACTTTTTATTATTTTGAAGTAAAATTTAAAACTTTTTAATTTTAATTAAGAATTATCATAATTTTTTATAGATTTAATTTCTTTTAAAATCTTTTATTCAATCAACCTATTTTTAAAATATGAAACATTTGAAATTATTATTTACCAATTTTTCATTTAAATAGAAGTTCAGGGTGAGGGGTGCATAACTTTCTCCAATTAGACAAATTGCTAATCGTGTTACGATGTGAGAATATACGGTGGATATTAGATTCCAAAAGCACACGAGTTGTGAAAAAGGACCAGAACCACGATGAAAACGAAATATATGTTATAGTTACTAATAATAGAGTTATTAAATGACTTTAAAATACAATATTTAAAATTATTTTAACAAATGTTATTAAATAATTTTTTAATTTTGAAAATCTTAAAAGTATTTTTGAAATCAATAGTAAAGTTAGATATTGTAAAAACACCTTCATTATCGAAAAAGAAAAAACTAATTTGTAGTTAATTTTTTTTTACATTTTAACCCCTTTGCATTTTAAAAGTCATGTTTCTAAACTCTGTTGTTTGGAAAAGACACCTGATTTGGCTTGTTATTTTATTTTAAAATAATTTTGTATTCTAACACTTTCTGCGCGTGCAAAGATGGCTCCTTCTTCCAACTTCTGCGCACGAGATTTCCTTTCAACTTCGCAGAGTTAACGAAACTTCAAGGAAGCAACGTTCGCTCTTTCTTTCTGTTACTTAATTTTTCAAATATTTGTTTTATGGAAATGTTTGTGATTTTATTTTATATTTTTGTTAGTTATTACAAAAACAAAAATAAAAATTGTTTTGATGTAGTTTTAATATAATATAAATTTTAAATAAATATTTTATGATATGATTGAGATTGATTTTTGTAATTAAGTGTGGGTTTGTTTTTAGATTTCGGTTCAATGTTATTAATGTCAATAAAATCATAAAAAAAAAATTAACACATTCACTTCCCTCTATTTTTGTAGAATCGAATAGCACGAAACAATGGCAAAGGTTGCGTACAAACACGTGCTTGTCTCTTGTCGAGCGTGCAAAAAGTATTCTTAAGCATGTTTAGTCGGCATTCACTGTTTCTTAACCAAGCGAGTGTAATATGAACAGAGTGGGAAGGCGATGAATGTAATTTCCTTTTCTTTTTCCATCTAATTCATTAGTCGCAATCCACTGCATCTCAACGAGGAGAAAGAGAAACATTCACAATCCAATTTCCGTGTTATCGCTGTGTGTGTAGAGTAGTAGTAGAAGTGGTGTAGTAGGAGAAAGAAGCTACTTGAAGAAGGGGAAGCCTCGTGAAGTATAAGAAGCACAAGAAGAAGAGTACTATGGGGATACTGCACGACGACGTAGTGATTATCAGGGAGGCAGAGAAAGAAGGTGAAACTACCATCATAACCGTCAACTGCCCCGACAAGACCGGTCTAGGTTGTGATTTGTGTCGTATAATTCTCTTCTTCGGTCTTAGCATTGTACGAGGAGGTAATCCACTAATCTTCAGTTTCTGTTGATTGTGTGGTGTCTGTAGACGTTGAGACTGATTCGTTTTGTTTGTTTGCAATGAAGACGTGTCCACTGACGGGAAATGGTGCTACATAGTTTTCTGGGTGGTGGGGAAGCAAAGGACCAGGTGGAGTTTGTTGAAGAAGAGGCTAATTGAGGCGTGTCCTTGTTGTTCCTCAGCTTCTGGGATTTCATATTACCGTTCAGAATTGCAACCTCCTAAACCTCCTGATGTATTCCTCTTGAAATTTTGTTGCCATGATCGAAAAGGCCTTTTACATGGTAATTTTGGAATCCTACTGCTTGGACTTGCAACTTGTTTGTCGTCTTGAATTTGCTGTTAGAGATCTGTTTGGTTCGTAGTTTTCTGATGTACTGTTGCTTTTCACTTTCATAGCTTTGCATCTTGGTGTTATTTTTTCTCCACCCTTGTGTTCCCACTTGTTGGTTGGAGTGGTAAACGGGTCTTAGGGTTCTGTTTGTTGCTTAAGAAAATCATGCCACTAGTAAATTGAGCTGATAGTTTTGCAGTGGCAAGGAATTTGTTTTCATCATGTAAAATACCCAAAATTCTAAAGTTTCCATTTTGTATTGTTCTTGGATTCTTTGCCTGCCTTGGATTTTGCCATGTTTTCTAGATGTTTTACTTTTGTTTATCTGGTTGAAGCCTTGTTGTGTATTATTCATTCGTTGTGAAAATAAATGCTTTTATTATTGGTATTTGGGACAGATGTTACAGAGGTTCTTAGTGAGCTAGAGCTCATCATACACAAAGTGAAGGTATCTACTACACCTGATGGCAAAGTGGTGGATCTGTTTTTCATCACGGATACCAGGTCTAACATTTCTATACATTCAGTTTTAGGAACATGCTTGTGTTGAAACTTGGATGCTCTTTTATTGCTAGTCCATTTCATTCGAACTGTATTTTTCTATGTAACAATGCAGTGGATTTGTTGAGTTAAAAATGCCAAGTGTTATTTTAAAAATAATTAAAAAGGAACTTGAAAGGGACTAATAGCAAGGTAGCTATTTCGTATCCCGTTCTAGTAAAATATTTTTCGGTTAGCTCAAGGAAATGTGTTACTAATGTTCCCAACTTTTTATCTGTAGCAGAACTCTTTCGCTAGAGGATGTTGAACTTCGTTTTTTGATAGTGGAGATTAATTTGCTGATGTATAATGCGTATTTGATTGCAATTCCTTATCTTTTCAGTAAACTAACTAACATACTGCTTAATCCTGTATACATATAATCAGGGAACTTTTACATACAAAGAAGAGAAGGGACGATACAATTGAACAGCTGTCAGTTATTTTAGGGGATCCCTTAATTACTATTGACATTGAATTGGTTGGCCCAGAGATTACTGCTTGTTCTCAAGCATCTCCGTTCCTTCCAAGTTCAATCACAGAAGATATCTTTGATTTGGAATTACCTGGTTCATTACGAAGTGGGACTTCCACATCTGATTCTGTTTCTATTGGGATTGACAATTCGTTGAGTCCTGCTCACACGCTTGTCCAAGTTATATGTCAAGATCATAAAGGTCTTCTTTATGACATCATGAGAACTCTGAAGGACTACAATATTCAGGTATAGTAATTCAAGAGCTGAACGATACAATAATTTTTAGTCATGTTTTTAAACTGCTATGAATTAGATAGAGTTGTCGGCAGAGAGAACTAATAAGCCTATACACTTCTATTTCATATTATATGTGAAGTTTTTTGCATGTGAATACTGTGTTGTGAATTCTCAATTCCTTTCCATATGAGCAATTCTATTTGCTGTGCCAACTACCGAGTAATTTGAAACAATCAAATTCATTTCCACTTTTTTTTTTTTTTCATGAATCTCTTAAAACTAGACCTAATTTGTCATTTAAACAGATTTCTTATGGGAGATTCTCAACAAAACCCAGAGGAAAATGTGAGCTTGACTTGTTCATAGTACAAGCAGATGGGAAAAAAATAGTTGACCCCAGCAAGCAGCAATCTTTGTCATCACGCCTTAGGATTGAACTACTTCATCCCCTCAGAGTAAATGTTGTAAGCAGGGGCCCTGATACAGAGCTGCTGGTTGCAAACCCTGTGGAGTTGTCTGGCAAAGGACGACCCCTCGTTTTTTATGATATTACTCTTGCTCTCAAAATGCTTGGCCCCTGCATCTTTTCGGTACTTACTGATCCAATAACTTTAACTATGTTACTTCCTACTGTTCATTTTCATGTGTACTTAATTTTTGGGTGAAGTTATGTTCTCCTCTAGGAGACTAGCCCAATATCAATGAATTTTCACACTGTTCCCATTTCCCAATTTCTAGAATTATATTCACAAAATTAGAATGAAGCAGAGAGGTAGACTGAGAATGATGATTTACAGCATGTCAATTTTTCTTCTTTTGTTTGAACAGGCTGAAGTTGGAAGACATGTGATTGGAGATCGGGAGTGGGAAGTTTATAGAATCTTGCTTGATGACGGGGAGGGTTTATCTGTTCCAAGGAACAAGATTGAGAAAGGAGTTTGGAAGATGTTGATGGGTTGGGTGTGATTCTTGGTCGGTGGCATTGTTCATCTTGGATGAACTTGTTCCTGTGTACAGATATCATGTAGTTATGATATGCAACTTATTGTAACAAAGCAATGTATATCGTGCAAATAGTGATCGTGGCCACGCTGTACTTTTAGAGCTTTTGTAATTTTAACTCAGTGCAGAAAGAAGGGCCGTAGCAACTATCAATTATAGGGGAAAAAGGAGAAAGACAGGCAGATTTTAGAGTATTTTATCACTAAAAATGAATTATTGTGAAGTGGTTATATTCCGTTCTTTCATACTATATGTGTATGTATAAAGTTGTTACATAATTTTAAATTCATTTTCTTGGTTATAGAAAACATTTTTGCTGCTTATATAAATCTTTTTAACAAGGATTGAAAATAGAATGACAGTTTATGATTAAAAAGTGACAACATAAAGTCGAAACAGAATATTTAAACACAAGTGGTTGTCGAAAGTTTTAGAATTGAATAAAAGTTGGAGACCGTGATGTTGATTAATGAATTTCTTAAAGAAGCAGTGACACGTTTAAAGGAATGAATTCAAACAGTATGACAGAAGTTTGTCTGTAATTTACGGACTGATATGCTTTGTTTCCATCTTTATTCTTTTGCTTTTAGGCACAAACCCTGAATTGGTAGTTGGTTTCCTCACCCAACTGCTGGTTGTTCCTAATGCTTGGCTTGTTCAATTTTTATCAAGTCGTTTTCCTAAGATACAGCTTCTATTCTACGACCAAGTTGTCCCCTATGATGATATTTTATCTTATATTCTAATTTAATAGGTTAGTTCATCTAAGAATTCACCAGAAGTCACCTACATGGATATCATAGGGAGCATCATGTCACATCAACATGTGGCAAACCCAGATTCTGTCTGTTATTCATGAGTTTGTAGTATGCACATGTTCAACGGTCTTTGGCCATTGTTTGCAGCTGCATTTTATAAGGACACGTTCCAGTCATTGACATAGACATAGCTTGATCACTGCTCTTGTGAAATTTGGGGATTCCATGATCATTGCAAATGGAGAAACAGTAGCACGAGTTTTGTTGGCTATCTCGTTCTTTGGTGCTAGATAAAAATATCTATCAAAAAAATCTCTTCTTTTATATTGTTTTCACTCAACATGTTAACATCAAGAAAAGACCCCATTCGTTGCTATGCCGTAGAAATTCTTCCCATGTGTCACAAACCGATAAGATTTTGATTGTTGTTATTCCCATTTGTCAGCATCTTATACAGAATCCGTGAGAAACAAGATTCGTGGTATACTTGACAAAAAAAATGTTGTCTTATATTTTATCTAGTGCTACTTACAGTAGATAAGGCATTTTCTATGGTTCTTTCTTTGTTTTCATTTTCAATAAAATGAATGTGGTTGCCTTTCACTTGTCCTTCTCTGTGTCGTTTTGAAACGGTGAGGAAAAAAATATACAAGCTTCTGTCAGTGACTCAATGTGAGACTTTTATTTATCCACAAACATTTAAATTTTGTACATTTTATAGTATCAATAATGAGAACAACTGACGAATAAAAATATATACTGATTGAAAAATATATATTAGAGTAAAGTAATATATTGCTATAATTCTTAGTTCATATCCTATTAATATAACAAGTTCTTTAAAAATAAAAGGAGTACAATTATATTTGCTTCAACCTGACAATATTACTAATAGGTTTCTATCAGAAAACAGTAAGTACTAATATGGTTTCATTTAAAATTATCTAATAAATTAAAGAATAAATACTTTGCCGTTTGTTACAAATCCATCAATTTTGCTTGCTGCTTTATCACTGATATATATATATATATATATATATATATATATATATATATATATATATATATATATATATATAATAGAAATATCAGTAAATCACATTAATTGAAATAAGAAGGAAATAAAAAAAAGGTTTAAATATCCGTAAATATATTTTATTTAATTATCAGGTTTTCTCTGAAAAGCATATAATCTAGCTAAATTCCAGTGCAATGATGTGTTGGTCCATACCCTTTCAATGCTATACACCTTTTCTTCCTTGATGGGTTTTATAGTGGCATTGCACTGGGTATTGTCATGTATGTGTGTCTTTTCCTTTTTATTCTTTTTAGACCACCAGACGGAAATTTAGGAGTGCTACTTCTTTGGCAAATCAAAAAGAAAGTAAGAGTATTTGGATGCAGAGTAAGATGAACCAAACAACAAAAAAGAAGAATATAATTAATAGAGGAATAACAATTTCTGGTTGACCATTGTAGTGGGGCTGATTGATTGTTGTTACTAATCATAGTTTCCAATATATTCCTAATTTGTGTAATACGCCAGCAACCACACTCCAGAATGGGATTTCTGCAAAAATGACATACAAGATGGTTCCCACCCTCTCTGAGTGCCAAACATTGACAAACACATGCTTCTGGATCCAGTGTACCTGGTTTGTTGTTGTTTCACATGCAACAATATTGGTTAGCACCTTGTTCTAGCTTTCTTTAAATAATAAAGGGGTGAGAGGAAATCTAATCTAAACACAATTTGGTATCTGTTTTTACCGTTGTTTATCAGAAGTTTCATTTGAATAACTTATCTGAGTATTTAATGCAATTTTGGGTATCACATACAATATAAACCAGAAAGGTTGGTTCTTACTAGGGAGTTATGTGGATCTTCATAATACCATCCATTTACAAATGCTGCGAAGATGCCCTGGGCTGCCATCACAAATACTAGCATAGCATTCATTCCTATCCATTCCAAGAACAAAAATGGAGTGCGTAGCCCCTGAACATCTATCTGTTTCATTTTCAAGATATTTAAATAAGAATCACAGTGAGACTTAGAATCAAAGGAAAAAACCACAATTATTGGTAACTTAGAAAGAATTTTTGTAGTCAGAGTCAAATCATTCTATACACTAGTACCTACCAGTATGTAGAACCCTGAGAAAACAACACCAGCTACCCCAGCTGTGAAACAAACATAGCTGAAGCTGTACAGTTGCTTGTTAATGGGGATAGCTGCAATATACACCACAAAAAAGAATGTTAAGATTTATCATGCATGCAATGGTATTTTCTTAGTTAACTAGATAGATTTTATTTGACTAGCTTACCATCTGTGAAGTGAAGAATGATGGCTATTATGAGTAACACAAACCCCATTGAAACCCATTGTTTTAGCCTCTCCGAATGACCCTGTCAAAATTTATACATTTATAACTAAATTTAGATATATAATAGATGTTTAGGTTGTGTATAACACGGGTGAAGTTTTTTAACCTTGAAGTGAATCAAGACGTGCCCATAGTGGATTCCGATAGTGCCAGAGAGGATTGCAGATATAGAACTGATTCAACAAAAACTTTTTGTTAAATATTTTTTATATGAGATTATTTTTTATAAAGTAACCCAAATTTATAATTAGAAACAAAACTAGAAAACCAAAGAATGCAGCTCAGTTTGAACGACCTTCTTAGAAAGAATAAATTAAAGTTATTATCCTTGTAAGTTAAGCTTTCCCGTACTAACTTCTCAAAATATAAACAATGCAATTTGATTTTAAAGAGAGAAATTTGATTAATTTTATCTCTATTCTCTTAATTAAACCTCAACAGGCCTTCAGGTTCAAAAGGAGCACGACACCAACTTGGAGCATCTTCACGAAAGGGACCATCTGCTGGAGAATTGAGTGTACATGCCTATAAATGTCATAGAAAAAGCATAATTAGAGTTAGAATCACCCCAAAAAACAAATTGATCTAAATCAAATAAAATTATTTCTTGTTTAATCCATTTAGCTCATGATTAAAATGTATTAGAAGATCAATTTATAAAATTATATATTTTATAAAATAATAATTATATATGAAAATAAAATATAAAATTATCAAATGATGTGACACAGAGTGGTGAATAGTCAACACTTACCTTCAAGCGTCTCCACACAGGTAGAGAATAAAGATGGTTGACCCCCCAAACCTGTCTGTCCACGTGTCCAACAGCGTTACATGCAGGCCCTAGATGTCCTCTCATCCCACAAATGACCTAATTAAAATTAAAAAAGAAAAAAAAATATAAACCCTAATACTGCCCATAGTGACATTTGTGAATATGCACAACACATGTGATTGATTATGTACCGTGTATCTCTTTGGTTCATCACCGTTAACACGATCCACGAAACTCCAGTCAGGAACATAGAGAGTAAAGGTTGTGATCATATAAATAAGAAATGCCACGAACCCTCCTAGCCTAAACCACGCAAATATGTAATGTTTATCAACCCTACTTCACAAGTTTCAATAATCAATTTCGATTGTATTTTCTCACCATTGCCATTTATAAGCAGTAAAAATTGATAGGTGTCCAGAACCCAATGTTGTGGGTCTGAGCTTGGTGGTAAATGTCTCTGTTAGTGCTACAACACAGTATACAAGTGCTATTCTCTGTAAACAAAAAAATTCAGAAACGGGTAATTATTCGAGAACTGCATTGCAAATTGTAATCCTTACTTTGATTTGAACTATATATACCTGGAGAATGCCAAACCAGCGGATAAATTTCATGTTAACTCCATAATCGAGATCATTAGGAGCATGAGAATAACCACCTAGGATGTTATATATATAATCAAATTTAATTATCACTGTATCAGGATTCACTTTTCTGTATTTTATTACATCAGAAAATGAAACAATTTCCGTTTACCTTGCAAAATTATACCCCAGAAGAGAAGCTTCAATGTTCTAAGGATTATCTTCTTTACAGCATCCCTTTTCTTGGGGATTCTCTGCATCATTATAATCAAAGTTAATCAATGACATTTAATCCACTCCACATGCTAATTGTTTAAAAAATTAACTTTACAAAGATAGAAAAGAAGAAGCATAACTTGCTCATAAAATTATTCAGATAATCCAAAGTCTCAATCAATAGTATATATTGGAGAAACTAGTCTATTAGGAGATGAAGAAGACCATCTTGATAATCGTATATATCATGCATGAATCACTGTTAAATTACTAACCTATTTGACTAAGTTATTGCAGAAACAAGTAAAAATTGTACGGAAAACATGGTATACATACCTTTAGTGCAAGGGCTATAGCAACCCCAACAATGAAAAGAAAGAAAGGCATGACGAAATCGGCCAAAGTACATCCATTCCACGGGGAATGATCAATACGTGGATAAGCTTCACCAGCATCATCTACCAGTATCATCAACTGCACAAAAATATCAAAAGAGTAAAAAGTCTAACAAAAAAATTATTTTTCATAAATATACAGGAGTATTAATGTAATCAATTCAGTTCATTCATAACATTATGTATACAAAAAGATGAGTTGTCACAGGAAAATCTAAAATTGGGTTATATCTATCTACCTTCATTTATAAGCCGACATAGAATTTTACATTTATCTTTCCCAAAAGAAAAATGGAGTTAATATCTTTTTAATGCTGATAAAATTGTGTACTTAATTTTTGGTGTTCAATTTTTGTTGTTGTTGATGTCTTTAATGATTGTTTTACTTCAACTATTGTCATCAAAGTTTTTTATTAAAATAATGAGCGTGTAATAAATATTAGAAAATAAGACTGATATTTACCAACATTATTAAATTTGAAGGAGATTATTCAATATAAAAGAAGCATATATATATATATATATATATATATATATATATATAACTTACAATTTTATAAAATAAAATAAAGAAATAAATGAATTGATAATTAGGACAAAAATTAAAAATAAATTTGTGGCTACATACTTCAAATACGATTAGATGTTGTTCTATCAACAATATTCCATTCAACTTTAAAATAAATGCATGGAAAACTAGTTTTACCATGCAGAATGTTTGGCAAAGAAAAACTAGGTTTGGAAAACACTAACCACTATGGTGAGACCCCTAAATGCATCCAGGGTTGCAACCCTCTTGGTCTTCTTCTTAACTAGTGGTTGTTCCACAGACTCATCCAAAGCCACAGGCTTAGCCATTGTGTCTTTCTCATGCTCAACAATGGAATCTCCGTTACTGCGTTTAATGGTCACCTGCTTCTTCAAGTCATTCTTATTACCATCTTCATTAAATGGTGAATTGAGGCCTTCTTCCATTCTCTTTGTTTCATCCATGGCTGAATAGTGAACAGTATTCAACAAAGTTCAACTATATTATATATATATATATATATATATATATATTATATATCCTTGTCTCTTCCTCTTGGGGTGGAATAGAACAATTATAGGGAAAGTCTATGTTAGAGATAGTATAAAAAATTAAATTGACAGAGAGGTCCAAGTTAATGAAGTAGAGGCCGGCTTTGTTTGCTTCTTCATCATCATCATCATCACGGTGGAGATGTTTAAAGTACTAATATTACATTACAAATATAAGAGACAGAGGAAGAACTTTGGATATTTTTTCAACAGAAAACATCATAAAAAATGAAGGACATTGTAGAGAAAGACAGGGAAGAGGTCAACACTCTAATTTAGATCAGTATTAGCACAGTCTGGTGCGTGTTCATTAGTCCAAACTTCAAATTATTTGTTTGGATGTGTTTGGACAGTGATAATTGTCCGGCTAAACAAAGTAAAATATCAATGAAAGATAATATAACAAAAAAAAAAGTTTTTAAAGTAGTTTATTGCTCATATTTTTAAATAAGGACCGAAAGATTCAGATAAACCTTAGACTTTCTGTGATTATGGCTATGAAGAAGACTTTTTAGATCCTTAAAGTTTTCAATAAGTCTCCAAAACGCCTTTTTGAAATCTAGACAACAAGAAAGCCTAATCTAAATCATTTTTTTTAGTTTAGTTGCCCAACAAAATTTATTTTTCATATAAATCTCTTAGATTGCAAGATTCACTATAGCAAAGGAGCACTACAAGAAAAAACGCTATTAGCGACCGAAAAAATCGGTCGCTAAAGGTCAAAATTCGGTCGCTATTTTGTTAGCGACCGAAATGGTTGGTCGCAGAAGGGCAAGTTGCTAATTTGTTAGCGACCGATTTACATTTCGATCGCTAAATAATTTGGTCACTTATTCATTGAAGACCAAAATAGCGACCGAAATTAATATAATAAATCGGTCGCTAAATCCGTGGTAAAGTTTTAAAAAATAGCGACCGATATATTCGGTCGCTAATATATTAATATAATTATTTAAATAAAAATTAAAATCGGTTGCTAAATCAATCGCTAAATTGGAGACAAAGTTAACAATAATAGCGACGGATATAATCGGTCGCTAATATATTAATTGAATTATTTAACTAATAATTTAAATCGGTCGCTAAATCGGTCGCTAAATTTGAATTGTATATTATAATAAATTTGTAGCGACCAAAAATTCGGTCGCTAATCTAACCAAATCTGAAAATTTTCGTTTAAAATTTTGTATATCAAATTTGACAAAATTTGTACTCGCTTAATTCATCCAAACATAACAAAAATGAAAACTTAAGAACTAAAGTCAAATTATTCAAATCATAAAATTTGTACCTGCTTAATTCATCCAAACATAACACAAATGAAAACTTAAGAACTAAAGTCAAATTTTGTATATCCAATTTTACAAAATTTGTACCGCTTAATTCATCCAAACATAACACAAATGAAACTTAAGAACTTAACAACTAATCAAGATTCAAAGTCTTAATATGCTCGAACAGCTGGCGGTATCCAGATTCCCGTATCCTTACCATTCCTAACTTTGTTCATTGAGTTTTTTAAAATTCGAGAACCTTTTTTATCAAAAACAGATCTTATGGCTTGCTCTTGTTCCACATCCCATATATACTCTTTCTGCATAAATAAAATACACAACAAACATTTAATTTATAAGAATGAAATGACATTGTTTAATGTAACTATAATTCAAATTACCTTGAACTCTCCAAACCATCTATCTCGAAGCTCAAGTGAAACCTTTCTCCAAGTGGGACTTGGTTCATCAAATTTTTGTTTGATGATTCTAGAGATTATAGCAGGAGGACCATTTGCTAGTATAAACCTGTGTTGAAACATATTGTTGGATTGATATTATTAAGAAATTTCATATTAAAGAATTATAATTAACATAAGTGAAACTGCATTATTCACTATATGTGATGCACTACTTATGTTTTTCTATTCTTGCAAATTAACTACAACAATCAGCATAAGTGAAACTGCATTATTCATTTTATGTGATGCACTACTTATGTTTTTCTATTCTTGCAAATTAACTACAACAATCAGCATAAGTGAAACTGCATTATTCACTTCATGTGATGCAGTACTTACGTTTTTCTAATACATTTTTTCCAAGGTATTTATCCACTACTTATGCAGTACGTATGATATAGACCACCAAATAATTGTATAAGTAAACCCAATAATTATGAAATTTCTTTTCACTAATATCCAACAGATAATTAAAACAAATTACAAATGGTTAACCTGAGGGCGTACAGTCTCAACAAGTTCCCAAATTGGTCTGTCAAGCACCACCAAATCCGCAGTAAGAGGGATCGAAGAACCTATCTACTTCACAAATCCACCTACAACAAACGATAAAGAAATTCTGTCAAAATTATCTCTCCTATATTATTCACAATGCAAGAGAATAACAGTATATACATTCAAACAAGCCAAACCTTGGTTGAGGGTGTCAGAGGCTGCGGAGGAGGTTAAGAACAGAGGTGTGGTGCGGTGTCTCACAGGGTGGCGTCCGGTTGACGAGGAGCTTTGGTGGAGGTTGGATTAGGGTGAGGGCTGACTTGGGGGGAGCAGTGAGGGGGCTAGGGCTCGCCGGGAGTGAGGAGGAGATACTGGCCAAGGTTAAGAGGAATGGGTAAGTGAGGCGCGAGAGTTAGGGTTATTTGGGGATAAGTGGCGCGAGATAAAAAATGTGGTAGTATATGATAGCGGTTAAATCTTAACCGCTATTATAATATCACTTCTAATAGCGGTTAAATCTTAACCGCTATTATATAGCACTTCTAATAGCGGTTAAATATTAACCGCTATTATATATTTTCAAATATGATCGATCATTTGAAAATGTAATCGATCATAATAAAAAAATGTGGATGTCGCTCGAGCGAGATCAGTGTCGCTCAAGCGCAAAACAACCCGAGAATGCCAATTTTGTGCAGGTGGCGTCGCTCGAGCGATGTTATTTTCGCTTGAGCGAATGTTGACCTGCTAACCGTCGATCAAAGTTAGCCGGATAATGTAACATGGGTGACCTCATGTTTGAATCGGATGTCGCTCGAGCGAGTATAGTGTCGCTCAAGCGAAATACAACCCGAGACTTCACAATCTTAAAATCTGGTTGTATATGATAGCGGTTCCACTGGAGCCGCTATTAAAAGGGCACTTCTAATAGCGGTTAACCCTCAACCGCTATCTAAAATATACTTTAGATAGCGGTTAACGTAGAACCGCTATTATATCTTCTCAATTATGATCGATCATTTCTAATTATAATCGATCATAATGAAAACTTACATTAACTATTTTTTTGAATATTATGTTTTTAAATTTGCTATTAGAGAAAACCTTTCAGAATTCAAAATGTTAAATACTTTTAAATATTAAAATTAACTTTATCAAAAATTAGGAAAAAAAAATTAATCCAAAAGAGTTCAAAAATGTATTATAATATTGTCAATTTTGAGTTTAATTATATTGTTCATTCTCAAAGTAGAAAATATATTGTAATTATTTTAATTTAATAAAATATAATTTAAAATTTTAATACTAAAATTAAAAGATTAAATAATAATAAATTTAATTCTTTAAATTCAGTAATTAGAAACTAAAATTATAGTTTCTCTGTTTTAAATAATTAAAATAAATATTTAAAAATAAAAATCAAAACTAGTATTATCTTAAATTTATTAAAAGTGTAATTAAATCTCTATTTTCTTAATTTTATTTGTTTCAAACTTCTCAATTCTACATTTTTGTAAGTTCTATCATTATATTATCATCCTCATCTCCTTCCATGTTCTACTTTATCTTTACAATAGTCAATATTCTTAAATAATTTATATTTTTAATTATAATTTTTTAGTATATATTTCAAAAATTAATCAATTCTAATCTATTATTTGAAAAACTAATCAATTCTAATCAATAATTTAGAAAACTAATCGATTATAATTAATTATTTGAAAAAATTATCAAATATGATCGATCATTTTGAAAATCTAATCGATCAGAATCAAAAAATCTGGTTGTATATGATAGCGGTTCCACTGGAACCGCTATTGTATGTTACATTCGCTTGAGCGAATGTTACTTTCACTTGAGCGAATGTTGACCTGCGTAAACGTTACTTTCGCTTGAGCGCTTGAGCGAATGTTACTTTCGCTTGAGCGAATGTTATTATATGATAGCGGTTCCACAAGTGGCGTCGCTTGAGCGATATTACTTTCGCTTGAGCGAATGTTGACCTGCGTAAACGTCGATCAAAGTTAGCCGGATAATGTAACCTGGGTGCCTCATGTTTGAATCGGATGTCGCTCGAGCGAGAATAATGTCGTTCAAGCGAAATACAATCTGAGAATGCCAATTTTGTGCAGGTGGCGTCGCTCGAGCGATGTTACTTTCGCTTGAGCGAATGTTGACCTGCGTAAACGTCGATCAAAGTTAGCCGGATAATGTAACATGGGTGCCTCATGTTTGAATTGGATGTCGCTCGAGCGAGAATAGTGTCGCTCGAGCGAAATACAACCCGAGAATGTCAATTTTTTGCAGGTGGCGTCGCTCGAGCGATGTTATTTTCGCTTGAGCGATATTGCAAAAATCAGATATAATCATGGATTATTTTCTCATTAGCGACCGATTTTAATTCGGTCGCTATTTCAATTTGTAATTCGGTCGCTAAATCAGTCGCTAAATAATTTTTTTATTTATGTATGAAATAACCACCGATTTAGCGAGGCGACGCACAAAAATTGGTCGCTATTTCAATCGCTAAATAAAAAAGTGAAAATCAAATCATATTTTGGTCGCTAAATCGGTCGCTAATTGCGACCGAATTAAAATGGTCGCTAAATCGGTCGCTAATTGCGACGTAATTAAAGTGGTCGCTAAATCGGTCTCTAAATACGACTAAAATTAATCGGTCGCTAATTGCGACCGAAAAAATTCGGTTGCTAATTTCGGTGACTAAATATGTTTTTTCTTGTAATGGAGGCTTTTTATTATATAGCAGCGAAAGGGTTTATGTTCCTAGTAGGAGCACTAGGATTGTGAAATCCATCCAGTGTGGCAAAATCGGATCCCATTTGATGTTTCTTTTACGGTCTTAATAGCAGATTTATGTCTAGGGTTTCTGTTCAAGTTCACATTTTTTACTCAGGATATAGGTTATCAGGTAATCAATCTTAGTTAAGAATGTGGTTGATCCTCATTGGAAATACTTCATTGTTTATCTTTGTGAGGATGAGGATGAAATTGAGAATATTTAAAAAATTAAGAGGAGTCATTTTCAACTCTACAAAATTTAATTGTAAGGTGAAATTTTATATAGTTATAATTTGATCCGATTTCTAATTTAATCGTTACGAGATTTTAATAATGATTAAAATAATTTAAAAAATATGGAAAAGATTTTAATGACATCCATTCAACTTGAAATTAGAGAAAACATAATTCAACACATAATACATTAATTCATTAATTGATATTAATTATTGAAGACTCATTTGTTTATTTCTTAGTTTTCTATAACTATATTTATTTGTGATAACAATAGATTGAAATTTCAACTGATCGTACGAACAGTTCTACCCACCAATAATTGTTGTTTCCACTTCACGAGTAGTGGTTGATTAACTAGGGTACGATTACCATCTTTTTCGTAATTTTTTTTGAAAGAGAAAAAAATATATTAACTCATACTCAAATTAACAATAACATCGTTGAAAAACTATATTAAAAGTTTTTTATAAGTTAGTTTATAAATAAACTATAATTTTATTATATAAGAAAGTCATTTTATTTTTCTTATCTTATCTTCTAAAATAGTTTAAATGCCATTAATAAGGACGAGAGTTGAAACCAACTCACCTTCCAATAACACCAATTTGCCACTGGCAGTCATGGAATTTGAAACAAAAGGTGGAATCAATAATTATAGCGTCTTCAATATATATGATCAGTAAGAAAAGGAATTTCTCTCTCTCTCTCTCTATATATATATAGAGAGAGATTTTTTTTATAATCATTATTTTGCAAACATCTAATTTATAAAAATATATAGTATTAAAGTAATATTTTTACTAATAGAAAGACAAGATAAAAAATTAAAGAGAATGATGGGATGAATATTTGATAAAAAAAATGGTTGTGTATATGTCATTATTACTCTTTTAAGAAGTAACCTGCACGCAGGATAAGGATAAAAAGCAAAGCTTCTAGAATGAAAAGTAACATGATTAAGGTGTGGACCAGGAAGAGTTAATTCAAACTTTATTTTCTTTCTAGCCAAGCAGAAGTAGCTAGCAACCCGCACTATTACACTTGAAAATCATATATGCGATTATGATTAAAAGTATTTGTAAATGAAAACTAAATAGAAACATTAGTGTGGAATCTTTGTGAAATTAGAAAATTAATCTAAAGAAAGTGTAAGGAAGGACGTGAGATATTTATAAAACTCATTTAGTAAATTTTAAAATTGTTAGATTGAGGAGAAATATCATTCAATTTCCACAATTCACTTGTAATTCCGTCTGCAACACCGTTTCTTTTTCCACCAAAACAATCTTTACCTTTTCAACTCTCCATAAATTTTCCCACCCACATATATACGTGGTTCTGCATCACATTCATCCACACCATCTATAAGAAAGAATGTTTAACCCCAAAACCGAACAACATCAGTGCAAAATGGTGGTTGGAGAGTTCGCAGGTGGTGGTTTGAGAGGAGTGAAGAGCTTGAGCTACCATGTTATCACCGGGCGTTGGTTCATGTTCTATGCATCTTTGCTCATCATGGCTGCTGCGGGGGCAGTTTATATTTTTGGCATGTACTCTAACGAGGTCAAAACCTCTTTGGGGTATGACCAAACCACTCTCAACTTGCTCAGCTTCTTCAAAGACATGGGTGCCACAGTTGGAATCATATCTGGTTTGATCAACGAGGTAACACCACCCTGGGTGGTACTCTCAATTGGGGTCCTTATGAACTTCTTTGGCTACTTCATGATATGGCTTGCAGTCTCTGGCCGCATTGCCAAACCACAGGTTTGGCAAATGTGTCTCTACATTTGCATTGGTGCAAATTCTCAAACCTTTGCTAACACTGGTGCTTTAGTCACATGTGTCAAGAACTTCCCAGGAAGCCGTGGCAGTGTTTTAGGCCTACTCAAAGGTTACCTTGGGCTAAGTGGTGCCATCATGGCTCAGTTCTACCATGCTTTCTATGGTGATCACAACCCTCAAGCTCTTATCTTACTCATTGCGTGGCTTCCTGCTACTGTTTCCTTCATTTTCCTCCCAACAATTCGGATATTCGCCAACACAGTTCACCAACCCAACGAGAACAAGGTTTTCTACTTCCTTCTATATATTTCACTTGCCTTTGCAGGGTTTCTCATGGCTTTGATCATATTGCAAAACAAGCTCACTTTTACAAGGCCCGAATTCGTAGCCGATGGGGTTGTGGTTTTTTCCCTTCTTCTTCTCCCACTTGTTGTGGTATTTCGAGAGGAAATAAACCAATTGAAAGCCGAAACGCAAGGTTTGACCGATTCAACACCCCAGTTGAAAGTAGTCACTGAAAATTTTCCACCTCCAAAAGTAGAGCAAGAAGTACCAGCAACCACAAGTTCGCACGAGAAAAGTTCTTGTTTCAGGAACATACTCAACCCCCCAAAGAGGGGAGAAGACTACACCATTTTGCAAGCACTTTTCAATATTGACATGCTGATTCTGTTCATTGCAACAATATTTGGTGCTGGCGGAGCATTAACAGCCATAGACAATCTAGGACAGATTGGACGCTCATTGGGATACCCCAGGAAGAGCATCACAACATGCGTGTCCTTATTGAGCATATGGAACTACTTGGGACGGGTAGTTGCAGGTTTTGCTTCTGAAATATTGTTGACCAAATACAAAGTCCCTCGTCCCTTCATGCTCACTCTAGTTATGCTTCTCTCTTGTATTGGCCATATTCTGATAGCCCTTGGTGCCCCAAACTCCCTCTACTTGGCTTCCGTGATTATAGGGTTCTGTTTGGGAGCTGAGTGGCCGCTAATGTTTGCGATCATATCAGAAATATTTGGCCTTAAACGTTACTCCACGTTGTATAACTTTGGAGCCGTGGCAAGCCCTGTTGGGTCTTACATTCTGAACGTGAGAGTGACAGGTGTTCTGTATGATAAAGAGGCTTTGAGACAGTTGAAGTCCAAAGGAGTCTCGAGACAAGCGGGGAAGGAGCTTGACTGCGTTGGAGTACAGTGTTACAGAATGGCGTTTATCATAATCACGGTTGCGACGCTGTTTGCATGCTTTGTTTCGTTTGTTTTGGTGCTGAGGACTAGAAAATTTTACAAAGGGGATATCTATAGAAAGTTCAGAGTGGAACTTGTAACCGAGGAGAACGAAATCGGGATCACCAAAACTGGTAACAGTGGCTTCGGAGAACAAGATAAGGAGAATAAAGAATGACGTGTTAAAAGGTTTAGGGTTTAGTCATTGTATTCTTGACTGGGTGTAGAGTACACAACCACTTTAACGTAATAATAATAATAATTATTTTCTTAATTTTCTCTTGACTCAACAAACTATCTCTTCGATTAATTTTATTTAATATAATATAATTTTGATTATTAATATATAATAACAGTGTTCATATTACTTTATTTTTGCAAAAGAAGTAATTAGTGTTAAATATTTGAATTTCTGAAAGTGAACCCATCCACCCACCCACTGAGAAAAGAGAAGATAATGGAGATGTTCATCACTCACTCTTTCACTTCAAAAATTTACGTCATTTCGTCGCTAAGAAAAGTGGTTTAAAAATAAAAATAAATATTTTATTATAAACCTTACACGTTAATTATTTATATAAATAATTTATTTTAATTTTAAATTATTTTATTAAATTTTAAAAAATTATATATAACATGTATAATCATATATTTAATTTATTTCTAAGAAATACTTGCGAAGTTATATAATTAACTAAACTTCTATATAAATATTTAATTTTAAAAAACTTATACATGAAGGACAACAGAAAAACAACTAAACACATAGTACTAGGTAAATGAAAACACTACTATTATTTCTTTTCCGATTTACATTAGTAGAAATAAATAATAAGAATAATTAACAAGTTTTTTTACTATACTAGTTTTTTTTCTCAATATTAAATTATCTATTATTCCTTTCATAAAATTTAATAAAGAATTCTTTTGATAAGGATGTGCCATGTTTTTTATAAATATTTTTAGATAAATGCAAAATTGTTTTGAAACCAAGAAAAAAATTATCTTTATTTTTATTCAATATTTTTTTTTAATTTTAAATTATATATTAAAAAAGACACAACACCTGAAAAATTCATAATTGATCATCTACTCTGGTATATCAGTTCAAAAAAATTTTTTTTTTCACATGAGATCCACCATTTTTATATTTCTTTCTATATTAATCATTCTTTCTGGTCCTCTTTTTTTTTTTATTTCCAAGTCATTTCAATTCTAACACTTCTCAAATTCTGTCATTTCAGCACTACATAACAACACATGAACTTTTTTTTTTTCCTTTTATCTTTCTATTAAAACTTTTCCCTAAATTGAAACCACCATAAATGTGTCAACTGAATCGCAGAAAGGTATGAAGAGAAAATTCAAGAGACCAATTTTACATGCCAATGAGAAAATGAATAACATTGCAACATTATACTATTATTTCTTAATATATAAAACTTTCAAACCTTCTAACAACTGGAAACTTTTTATTACCTGTTAAATTGATGCCCATTCCTTTACCATTTCATTCACTACTTATGGTAAACCAAATAATACTTGAAAATTTTTACACGTTTCTGCAGAAGAAAATTAACCACATGTTGAAACAAGTAAAATTCCCCTTTTAAGTATTATTTGTTTTAAAGCTTTATACTACTGTTCTTAAAAAACATTTTGATTATATATATATATATATATATATATATATATATATATATATATATATATATATATATATATATATATATATATATGTTACTCTAAATATTAACTCTTACACAGTGTCAAACTTGTAAGGATACGAGAACAGTTTCATGCTCCACCTTAAACTATACTATAACTTGTTTCTTTCACTCCCCAAATGCAATTGGTATATATAATTTATTAAACCAAAATATAATGTTATACGTACAAGAGTATATTATGTTCATATACTGGTTGATCATATCGGTTCTTAATCTGTTCAAGTCATCACGATAGAAATGTTTCGATTATATTTAAATTCATAACTCAGATAACACCTGAGCAGAAAAGGGTTAAAAGTGTTATTATGTTTATATACGCTTTGTTGGCTACAAATTCTGCTGCCATAGTGGATGAAGCTGTAAGGGTTTGCTTGACACTGCGCCATGAAACCGCACCACCTGCTAACATGAAAATGTAACCTGAAGTGAATTTCAAACTATCTTGACATCCTACAAAGTCCGAATCAGAAAACCCAGCGATCTCCAACTGGTCTGACCTCCTGTATGTGAGCATGTAATCTTTTGTTCTCTTTAAATATCTCATGACCCTTTTTGCTGCTTTCCAATGGTCAATTCCTGGATTGCTTAAATATCTGCCTAGAACCCCAACTATGTATGCTATGTCTGGACGCGTACATACTTGGACATACATCAAACTCCCTACAGCTGATGCATAGAGAATCTTTTGCATTTCCTCAATTTCCAAATTTCCCTTTGGGCACTGATTGAGACTAAACTTGTCTCCCTTAGCAAGCTGGAGTATCCCGGATTTACATTCATGCATGCCAAACCTTTTAAGAATTTTTTCGATATAGTTCCTTTGTGATAATCCTAAAATACCCAGACATCGATCTCGGTGTATCTGAATTCCTAATACAAAAGACACATCACCAAGATCTTTCATTTCGAAATTCTTTGATAAAAATTTCTTGGTTTCGTGCAATATGTCTATATCATTAGTGGCAAGTAGAATGTCATCAACATACAAGATCAGGAAAATATACTTACTCCCCTTAAACTTGTGATATACACAATCATCAACAATATTCATCTCGAAGCCAAATGAGAGAATTACTTGATGAAATTTATAGTACCATTGACGAGATGTTTGTTTTAGTCCATAAATGGATTTTGTCAGTTTGCAAACCATACTCTTTGAATCTCCCTGCACAAAATTTTCTTGTTGCACCATATAAATCGTCTCATCAATGTTGTCATTAAGAAACGCCGTCTTGACATCCATTTGATGAAGCTCTAAATCATAATGTGCTACAAGAGCCATGATTGTCCTAAAAGAGTCTTTCGATGAAACTGGAGAGAAAGTCTCTTTAAAGTCAATCCCTTCCTTTTGGGTATAGCTCTTAGCTACCAGACGAGCCTTATACCTTTCCACATTACCTTTAGAATCCCGTTTGGTCTTAAATATCCACTTGCAACCAATGGGTCTCATACCTTCTGGTAATGGGACAAGTTCACAAACCTTGTTGTCTTGCATGGACTTATACTCCTCCTTCATTGCTTCAATCCACTTTTCAGAGTTAGAACCTTGCATGGCTTGACGGAAGTTAACTGTGTCATCTTCCATCATACCATTGTTTTCCTCATGTTCCTGAAGAAATACCATGTAATCATCTGAAATAGCACTTCTTCTTTCTCTAGTGGATCTCCGCAAAGATATTGGCTCATGATGCACAGGTTCTTAAGGATCTTGAGTTTGTTCTTCATGAACAACCAAATCATCTTGAGTAAGGGGTTCATTAACAATGTCTTGTGGAGGTTCCGAACTTACTTTATCAAAAGTAACTGTTTGAATCGGTTCTGGAATTGTTATCGATTCTTCCTCCAAGACAAAGTTCCTGATTTTATTCTTCCCCCCAAACTCAATATCCTCAAAGAACGTAGCAGTTCCCGTCTCAAAAATTGTTTTTAATGTGGGATCATAAAATTTATATCCCCTGGATCTTTCAGCATAACCAATAAAATAACTACTTACTGTTCGGGAGTCCAATTTCTTTTCATTTGGCTTATAAGGCCTTGCCTCAACTGGACAACCCCACACATGGAAATGCTTCAAACTAGGTCGTCGCCTGATCCAAAGCTCATAAGGTGTTTTGGTCGTCGCTTTAGTTGGTACTCGTTCGGAATATAAACCGTCGTCTTTAGTGCCTCTCCCCAGAGTGACTCTGGTAAGGTAGAATGACAAATCATACTCCTGACCATATCTTTAAGAGTCTGGTTTCGTCTTTCAGCTACACCATTCATGCTAGGTGATCCCGGCATGGTATATTGTGGGACAATTCCACACTCCTCTAGGTACCTGGCAAAAGGTCCTGGACGCTGTTCACTCGACCGATCAAATCTGCCATAGTACTCACCACCACGATCGGATCCGACAGACTTAATTCTTTTATTGAGTTGATTTTCAACTTCGACTTTAAATGTTTTGAACACGTCTAGTGATTGTGACTTTTCATGTATAAGGAATAAGTATGCATATCGTGAGTAATCGTCTATGAATGATATAAAGTATTGTTGACCATTCCACGAAGGTGTAGGAAATGGTCCACAAATGTCCGTATGTATCAACTCTAAGACGTCTGTAGCTCTATATGCACCTAATCTCTTCGCTTTGGTCTGTTTGCCCTTAATGCATTCAACACAAACATCAAAGTTTGTGAAGTCAATGGACTCTAAGATTCCATTTAACACAAGTCGTTCAACTCTATTTTTAGAGATGTGACCTAAGCGCTCGTGCCATAATGCTCCTGAGTGAGTATCATCAATTTTACGTTTAGTACCCCGTGATTACGTATTAAGGGTTTCATTATAGGTGGTCACATTATCAAGTAAATACAGATTATCATAAGGCAAAAGTGAACCAGTTCCAATAATATCTGAATTAAAAGACAAACTGAACTTATTGTTTCCAAATGAACACAAATAACCTAATTTGTCCAGATAAGAAACTGAAACCAAATTCCGTCTAAATGATGGCACAACAAAAGTGTCTTTCATATCCAAATTAAAACCAGTACTCAATAACAATTTAAAATGTCTTATAGCTTCCACCTCTACCGATTTGCCATCTCCAACATATATCCATCTTTCAGAATCAATTGGCTTCCGGTAGCTTAAGCAACCCTTCATAGAAACACTGATGTTAGTAGTTGCACCTGAGTCTAACCACCAAGTGTTACTGATACTGACGCTAAATTGACTTCAGAACAGACCAAAGTAGGAAAAATACTTTTGAGGATCGGAACATAATTTAAATTGGCAGATATAGAAACAATTGTAGCTGAATTAAAAACAAGAGAAATAAATTAATTATGCTCACATTATAAAAAAATAAATAAATAATTATAAATAAAATATATATATTCAAATAATGGTTTAACTCATCTCAAGACACCTAATGCACCATCAATATCAAGTCTTTAGACAGGTAATATTAAGCTGCTAAAGATATCTTGTTGTAATAATCAAACATTGACAATAAAGCACGTCCAACAACAAACCAGTCTTTGGATTGATTTATCATCGACAAAGCAAATCCTTATAATTATCACATGTTTATCATTATAGGTGTGTATGTAATTCGGTCAAATATTAATCTTCCTTTGGGCCGACTAATACTCGCATGAATTTACACAAACACTAACATTCAATATTTTTCATGAATTACCCAATTCAAAAGAGGTTACTTTGTTAACTTCTTCACTCAATTTGTTTACAAAAATATTAAACTACCAAAAAATTAATATTTTATTTATATAATAAAATCAAATATATATACTCCTCTGGGTTAGCAAAATACTAGTCCAGATAACCAGTTTTCTGCATTTACACGCTGAAGAAATAACTGCTTCAGTTGATATCTTCTTGATCTCGAAGGGTAGAAGTAAAACCACATGTAGTTAAATGCTGTGCAAGTTCCTCCCCTAATTGCTTTAGATAATTTGGTGCAGTTTGTTTTTTTTTTTTTTTTTTTTTTTTTGACGCTATTAGCGCAACCTTCGCACATCATTCCCCCAACGTGGAGAGGGATGACGGTGTCGTTCGCAGCGGAAGAGCACCGAAAGGGCGTAACGGAGTTGAGGCGGCTATGAAGCTGTCTGACTCTACCTCTGACCAAAGGACGGTGGTGCTTCAAAGGTTTGGAAATTGCTAGCTGCGCGACCGTCACACACGACGGAGAATCCATTGTGAACGGAATTGGAATCGGCAACGAAAGAGACGAAGACATGACCACCTCACAACCAAATTATTCTCCTCCTTCAATATATCCAGAAGCTTCCCCACCGAAGCTTCCTGAAACGTTTCGCTCCTCTCGCATGAAGTGGGAATTTGGGAATTTATCCCAAATTCGAAACTAGGTTTAAAACTTGGGAATTTACCCCCAAATTTTAATTTAGGGTTTACAAAAATTGGAGATTATTCTCTCCTTAGGATTCTGAATTAGCCAGAATCTTAATTTTGTGAAATGTAATTTCCAAATCAAGTATAGGTTGTTCTGATATCAATTGTTGGGTTAAACTGATAATTAAATATGATCATCTTTCTTATGATCAAACATATATATATATATAATCCCATACTGTAAACATGTTATAAACTAAATGCGAAAGTGTACCTGAATTAACCATAATGATGATATTCTTTGTAGAACATCTTTGATTTGATCTTATGGTCTTCCACTTGAAAAACACCTGTATTTCTACTATGAATTTTCTCTCTGATGTGGATAGAAAGAAAAGAACGGAATCAGTAACTCACGTTCTGTCTACGTCGCTCTCGAAGTGGACCATGACCCTTTAAAATAATCAAAATTAGGTTAATTACTTGAGTTTTAATATTTTTAATTTGACCCTCATCAAATTAGAAATCGCTTCTATTGCCTCTACACAATTTTATTTTCACTGACATATGCCTTTAGCCAAAACTTTAATTTATTTAGATAACTTTATTATTTGGCTTAATAAATAATGACCCTAACATATATTATATATTATGTATGATATAGCCAAAATTTGTCAACACGCTTTCTTCAACATAGGTTATAATTTTATATATATATTAATTCAGATTGCTCTTTCCGAAGCAAAACTTTATCTGTGTCATGCATTTAGATGACGCCTTCTCAAACATTATTTCATTAACATAACGCTTTGTCGAGCACTATCTTACTCAAATTTTTAATTAGATACTACTCAAAAAGTTATCTAATTTAAAAAAAAAACGCTATCTAAATATATGTTTAATTATCCTTTCCCTCTACTTCTCCACCTTCCATAACCTATTTTCCCTTCACTTGAAATCAACACAATGTGTCAATTGAAACATGAGTTAAATGGGATGATCGAAAAAGGTATGGAGTTTTTTTTTGATGATTTTATACAACAGAACAATTGAACATCATTCTAAAACTTCTGATATAAAACAAGTCTAGTCGCTACTATATATATATATAAAGCTGTCATCTCCAGATAACTTCGAAGCACATGATTTCCAAGCAAAATGAATAACTTTGGAAACCAATACAAATTCTTAGTCAACAAATCAATTTCTCCTTCTTTACCACTTGGAAATCTTCTAATTGTACCATGTAGATATTTTTATAATAGTGTTTTAACTGTTTTATTTAAATTCTTTATAGTTATAATTCTCAATATAAGTTTAATGATAATCATTTTAATTAAAGAATTTTTTTTATTATAATCAATATATCTTTTCTATTGAAAGTCTTCCATCACTAAATTATTAGAATTATTAGATAATCTAAGTATAAGTAAAAATAAAAAAATTTGAATAAGATATAATAAAATAAAGATTCATAATTTAATATGTTAATATTTTTTAGAAAGAGCAGTGTAAATTTCTTATGTTAATTAAGTATTTTTCATTAATTATCTCTTAAATCTCATTCAAATTCCTAAGAGCCAGTGATCGAATTGATGCCTCATTCATCTACCATTTCAATTTCAATTTCATTCACCGCTTCATCGTAAAAACTCACCTTAATTAAACCAAATATTACCTTTTCTATAGCAGGCTGATGATAGCTAAAATAAGTGACTCTGTGGGGCATGGCTTACATTGGCCTAACAAAAATGAAGTTCAGAAAATCTATGTTACGCGTGTTGCATAGGACAGGACCAGAATTTAGGTATGTTTAAATGAAGTTCATCAAATCCTTCCTCCATTTTCACCTTTTTCTTCCTGTTGGATAGTGGAGCGGGTAGAGTTTGGAGAGGATGTGGATCACGTGAAGGTGTACACGCGAAAAGTAAAGAGAAAAAATAAAATAAACACAGCGATTCAGGTGACCTTATTACAAAGATGAAAAATGTCCAAGTAATAAGAGAGTAAATAAACCATTTAGTATTTGAAGCCAGGCATAAGAGGTCGAGTAAGTGTACATGATATGTTGTATAATTTAATTAATTTGTATTCAGAAGTGAGTCAAAACTTTATTTTTACCTAACACGAGACTTCAGGTCAATTTGAATAATCTGAGTCACTTTAGCTTTGTGAGGAAATCAATCCTATATATTGTGTCGGAGACGTTCTCATCTAAAACAATAGTAGAGTTTAAACAGTTAAGTTGTATTAAACGTATAATTTAAATTTGGTCTTGCCAATGCATAAAGTAAGTGGTCATGGCGAAATCTAAAGCGTTGGATTGCACATTTATCGTACGAAGTGATGGCCGCTTTCAGTTTACCATTGATTCAAGGCTCACCGATAGTGGCTGCTTAGGACCACCGTTCAGAGTGCTCGTCACTTTCTCCATTCATATAATTGTACTTTCCACAAATTTATTATGACACCTTTTACTTTTCCTATATACCTGATAAAATCCTTTCCCTGATACCACCGGCCTTTATTTCCAAAACCACCGTGTCAAACCATAATCATTTGTTCCGTGTGCAACTTTTTTTTCCTCACATGTAGGGAAACATTCTTCACACACCTAACTCAAAATTCACCCCTATATAACAAATTATTTCAAGGTTTGAGACACGTGGTTCATATTAATCTAAGTGTTGCATTGTTAATTTTGATTACCTGATCGGCAGAAACCGCTATAGTTTCTCTATATATACGTGGTTCTCGATAGCCTCATCTCACTTCATTCAGCCCCTTTTATCACACGCCACAAGAAAGTGTTTGGTCCCAAAATACAACATCAGTGTAAAATGGTGGTGGCAGAGTTCGGTAGTGGTGGTTTGAGAGGAATGAAGAGTTTCAGCTACCATGTTATCACCGGGCGTTGGTTCATGCTGTTTGCATCTCTACTTATCATGTCCGTTGCAGGGGCAACATATATGTTTGGAATATACTCTAACGAGGTCAAAACCTCTTTAGGGTACGACCAGTCCACTCTCAACTTGCTCAGCTTCTTCAAAGACCTAGGTGGCAACGTTGGGGTCATATCCGGGTTGGTCAACGAGATAACACCACCCTGGGTGGTACTCTCAATTGGGGTCCTCATGAACTTCTTTGGTTACTTCATGATATGGCTTGCAGTCTCTGGCCGCACTGCCAAACCACAGGTTTGGCAAATGTGTCTCTACATTTGCATTGGTGCAAATTCTCAAACCTTTGCCAACACTGGTGCTTTAGTCACATGTGTCAAGAACTTCCCAGGAAGCCGTGGCAGTCTTTTAGGTCTACTCAAAGGCTATGTTGGTCTAAGTGGTGCCATCATGACCCAGCTCTACCATGCCTTATATGGTGATCACAACCCTCAGGCCCTTATCTTACTCATTGCTTGGCTCCCTGCTGCTGTTTCCTTCCTTTTCCTTCCAACAATTCGGATATTCAACACAGTCCACCAACCCAGGAACAACAGAGTTTACTACCACCTTCTATATATTTCACTTTGCCTTGCAGGGTTTCTCATGGTTTTGATCGTTGTACAAAACAAGCTTAGTTTCTCAATGATTGAGTACAGAGTCGATGGCCTTGTGGTTTTCTCCTTTCTTCTTCTTCCACTCGCTGTGGTATTTAGAGAGGAGGTAAACCATTTAAAAACGCAAGGCTTGATCGATTCGGCACCCGAGTTGAAAGTAGTCACTGAAGTTATTCCACCTCCAAACGTAGAGCAAGAACTACCAACTACAACAAGTTCAGAAGAAAAATTTTCTTGTTTCAGGAACATACTCAACCCCCCAAAGAGGGGAGAAGACTACACCATTTTGCAGGCACTTTTCAGCATTGACATGCTGATTTTGTTCGTTGCAACAACGTTTGGTACTGGCGGAACATTAACAGCCATAGACAATCTAGGACAGATTGGAAACGCATTGGGGTACCCGAGTAAGAGCACGACAACCTTTGTGTCCTTGGTGAGCATATGGAACTACTTAGGAAGAGTAGCCGCAGGTTATGCCTCTGAAATCTTCTTAACCAAATACAAAGTCCCTCGTCCCTACATGGTCACTCTAGTATTGCTTATCTCATGTGTTGGCCATATTCTGATAGCCCTTGGCATCCCAAACTCTCTCTACCTGGCTTCAGTGATTATTGGATTTTGTTTTGGAGCTCAGTGGCCACTAATGTTTGCAATCATATCAGAAATATTTGGCCTTAAATACTACTCCACGTTATACAACTTAGGAGCCGCGGCAAGCCCTGTTGGGTCTTACATTCTAAACGTGAAAGTGGCTGGTGTTTTGTATGATAAAGAGGCTTTGAAACAACTGAAGGCCAAAGGACTGACAAGAGAAGCAGGGAAGGACCTAACTTGTGTCGGAGTGCAATGCTACAGAATGGCTTTTATCATAATCACGGCTTCAACGTTGGTTGGGTGTTTAGCCGCGCTCATTTTATCTCTGAGAACTAGAAAGTTTTACAAAGGGGATATCTATAGAAAGTTTAGAACGGAACATGAAACAACAGAGAATGAGATGGAGATTACAGAGACAAAAACAGAAGTAAACGCAGTAAATGGTTGAAACAGAAGCACACTCAAGGAACCAGACAAAAACTAAAGAAAAGTGTGTTTAAGTTTTAGTTGCAGTAAATGCAAGGCTTTTTATTATACATTAATAAATTTGGTTCTTTAGAATTAGTAAATACTGAATGGTATATAAGTGCTATCTATTACTAGAGCATCTTTATCCAAGGAAATGATTGCATGTTAATATTTTCTCTCTCAAATCAAATTTATGATCTGTAAAGGGAGAAGTTATGGTGTATGTGTTCCCGTCAATCTTTAATCATATACAATCATTATTTATAAATATATAATGAAAGTATAAGGGATCCAAACCATATTTTGATCATATGATTATACAAACAAGTTAACATTATTTTAACTACACAATTAAATAATTTATTCATCTCACACTTTCCATTCTCACTTATAATAACAATATATATCTCAACCAATCTAAACATAATACTATTAATTTCTGCCATAAATTTTAAAATATAATAAAAAAATCATAAAATTCTGTTTTAATTATTGTGTTCCTCGTAAAAAAGAGACCTATAAGTGGACCACTTGATAATTAATTTAATTTTTTTTAGGAGACACACTAGTTAGTTGTTATATATATATATATATATATATATATATATATATATATATATATATATCAGTTTTAAACATATAATATCCTTTCTTTTCCTATTCATACATTACTATATGTTTTATTTTTGTTATTCAAATACGTTAAATTTTGAAAAGAATTATCATTAATAAAGCTGATTATTCATATTTATATTGAGGAAAATAACATTTTACATGTAATATTATAAATATTTTTTTCTTTGGCTCAATATTGAGTAAAATAAAGTGTAGTTTACATCAATAGTTTTACAGTCTTGTCATTAACTGTGGATATTTTTGTCATATTTGAAATTGAATTATTGGGTTGTTGCATGCTGCCGCAAAAGTATAGCTGGTGATAACCACGTATCCAAAATGATTTGGTATTGGATGAATCTGGATATTCATTTAACAAAGTGATTTGTTTAAACATGTGGTTAAAAAATAATGGAATAAGATTATTGTCATTTCAACCAAATTAGGAGTGTACGACAACCACAGTATCTGCACATACATGCCTACCTTTCGGCGTGAGAATGAAAAAGACTATGAGGACAAAGATGAATGACCTTGCTCAGTAGCTACCTTCACTTATCACAGCCACATGAAGATAGTAGTGATCTTAGACTTGCACATACCTAAGATGGATATTGTATTCATCCACAAACATAACGTGGGCGGGACCAAGCCCTCTCATTGTCTTCACAAGAAACACTTATTTATTTATTTATATATATAATTATTAAAAAATAGTAAACTTTTTTATATGGAATAATAATATCAACCTAGTTAATCGTTGATTCAATAGGAAAATAGTATCGAGTGAGAAAAAAATAAAAAAATCGAAGAAGTAATATTTTAATAATGTATGGAACATTAACAATGAGATCAAATTGCAGGAAAATATAATAAAATACAAAAACTACAATCAAACACAAAAAAAAAAAGGAAGGATAAGAAAATTGACGAGAATTAAAGAATAAAAATTTCTTATTACACATTTTAGCATGTCAATGAGTTACAAGAATTTACAGATAAGAAGAGAAAGAAAATCCTTAAAATGGTTAAAACATAAAATAAATTATCTTTTTTTTGTTAACATCCCCTCAAGCTAGGAATAAATATCGATTGTTCCTAATTTGGAAACTAAATATTTGAAAGTAGGTGACAAAGCCTTTGTCAAAATATTTGCGAATTGCATGATGGAAGTAATAGGTACAAGTAACCTATGTTAACTTTCTCTTTGACAATGTGACAATCAATCTCATTATTTTTCATTCTTTCATAAAAGACTTAATTGGAGATAATTTGAATGACACACATGTTGTCACAATATAATAAAATTAGTCAAATGTAGTTTTTCTTTAGATCATCAAGGAGATATGTGAGTCATTATAATTCGCAAACAGTAGTAGCAAGAACACGATATTCAACTTTAATTGAACTCCTTGAAATAATTTGTTGTTTCTTTGATTCCTAAGATATGAGAGAATTGTCGAGATAAGTAATATTGCCAGTGGTGAATTTGACTTTCAGGACAATTAGCCCAAAATCTGAATTATTATAAACTTTGAGTTGTATATCACTGTTAGCACGAAGAGCTTTTAAGATATCGAATGATTCTTAAAGCAATTTGATGATGATTAGTAGTAAGAGTGGAAATATGTTAACTAAGATGATGAACAAGTTGAGTAATATCAGGTATTGTGTTAGTTAGATAGATAAGTCTTCCAAGGTTCTTAATTTTAAAGGTTTCATTTAACAAATCAGTAATTCTATCTATTTGTGTAAGATCTTCTCCGGCTAAGACGATATCATCTATATAAGCTAAGATTATAATTTTACTATTACCTTTTTATGTTGAATAATGTATGTATCCATGAGACAAAAGGAAGTTAGAGAGTTTCTCATACCATTGTCTACTTGCTTGTCGTAATCCATAAAGAGATTTGTGTAATTTGCATATTTGATTCTTAGTGTCACCAATCATACAGGAGGGATACCCATATAAACATCTTCATGTAAACCTCCATGCAAGAAGACATTGTTAATATCTAATTGTTTTATATGCCAACCTTTTATGGAAACCATAGATAAAAATGTTCTGACCGTGGTGAATTTAGCAACAAGGGAGAAAGTATCGAAGAAATCGAGCCCTTCAAGCTAGGTGTACCCTTTTGCTACAAGTCTAACTTTATATCTATCTATGATTCCATTTTTATGTTTGATTTTATATACCCATTGGCATCCAATGTCAGTTTTATTTTGAGGAAGTGAACTTAGAATCCAAGTATTATTATTTTTTAGAGCAAAAAGTTATTTTGACATAGATTTTCTCCAATGTTCATGCTTGCAAGTTTCTTCATAAGTTTTAAGCTCTTTGGTAGCGTCAATGCTAAATATAACCTATTTGAAGGTAGATGACAGTTTATTATAGGAAATTAAAATTTCAACAGGATATTTCAGACCTTTTAAAGGTGTAACATAGTAATCTTTTAGATAGGTTGGAGGATTTCTAATATGAGTGGTTTTTCTCAAGATAGGAACAGAAGAGATACTTGTGTCATTTTGAATGGATATAGTGTCTTGTGCAATATCAGTTGATTGAGTTAAGGATGTATCATTAATAGATTGGGTATCATCGATTGATTGATTCGAGGCACATTCTTGTGTTGTATTGATCGATCAAATTGGTTCAGGACTTTTTACAATATCGATCGATTAAGTGTGAGTTTTCTTTCCTTGATTTCAATGTCTTTGATTTCTTGAGAGTTAATATTTACATTGAAGCTCTCTCTAAGGGGATAAATTGTGGTTTCCTTCAAATTTTTAAAATATGGAAAACTGTAAAATATTATATTCCTTAATATAGTTATATCCCGTGTTTTTAGATTAAAAATCAAAATCCTTTTGTGTTATTTTTAAAACCAGAAATATGCCGAGATAAGCTCTTGGATCAAGTTTCTTCCTATTAGCAATAATAGTGCTAATGTGAACAAGACATCCAAACACCCTGAGGTTTGAAATATCATATGCTTTTGTGTAGAGTTTTTCAAAAGGAGAGGTATTACAAAGATAAAGTGTAAGAAGACAATTAATCAGATAAAAAACATGCAAGACAACATAACACCAAAATTGTTGAGTTAATTTGGATTGATATAAGAGTGCTCGAGTAACATTAAGCATATGCTGATGCTTTCTCTCAGCTATCCCATTTTGTTCAGTGTAATCTGATGTTTAATCCCTTTGTGATTATAGTAATATTTCATGTTAAATTCTTGTCCATTATTAGTCCTAATACACTTTATGGTTTTGCTAAATTAATTTTCAACATATGTAATGAAATTGATATAACCACGTGCATCATATTTAAGTTTCATAAGAAAAATTCATGCAAATCATGTGTGATCATCAACAATAATAAGAAAATGTTGATACCCATGCATAGAAGTGTGAGAACATGTCCCCATATATCAATACGAGTCAGATCGAAGCATTCATTAGCATAAGAATGACTATTAGGAAAAAAAAAGTTTCTTCTGTTTAACAATGTGATACATTTCGCAAACCAAATTCTTATCACTTTGTATATAAGAGTAATTTTTTCATCAAGTTCATCATTTCATTTGATATATAACCTAATCTAACATGTCAAAGGTTAATATTGCAATAATTATTGTTGATTTTAGTATTAGCATTCACATAATATTTTGTTCTCTAAGAGTATACAAACCATCTTTAACATCAACTATATCAATCATCTTGTTGCTCCTTACATCTTGTATAATACAAGAGTTATGATAAAAAGATAGTTTGTAATTTTAATCAAGCATGAGTTTGGATACAAAGATTATATTATAGGAAAATGTAGATATGAGTAAGACATCTCTAAGGAGAATTTTGTTATCAATTTTAACATTCCCTTTATGAGTAGCATAGACATGATCATCATTAGGGAGATTTATGATTATGGGTTTAATTGATTCATAGGAGATGAAATTTGATAGGAAAGAAGATACATGGTCAGTAGCTCTAAAATCAATAATCCATTGGTTTGTGTCATGCTCTCGATTATTGCAAGAATTAATGATAGAGAAATGATTACCTTTATTCTTACCATTAAGAACATTATTCTGGGAGACAAGGATGTGTGTGGTGCTGGTGTTATTTTTTGTGTGGTTTTAGAATCCCCTTCAGGGTTGGATTGTTGTAAAAGCATTATGAGACTTTGATATCGTTGTTCAGTTAATTTGACATCTTGATTTTCTAAGACTACATTATTCATACTCTTCTTGTAGTTTTGATGTGGACATAAAGACCCAAGCCCATGACGAGAAGGATAAAGACCAAGACCCAATCCAAGACTTAGGTGGACCTATGACAAGAGACAGACTCAAAAAA